AAGGAACAGAAAAGAATTTAGAAAAAGCCTTTCATTGGTATCAAAAAGCAGCAAGAAAAGGTGATAAAGCAGCAATGTTTAATTTAGCCAATAGCTATTATAAAGGAGAAGGAATAGGAACAAATTCAGAAAAAGCCTTTTATTGGTATCAAAAATCAGCAGAAAAAAATTATATTAAAGCAATGCTTTATTTAGCCATATGTTATAAAAATGGAAAAAAAACAGAAGAGAATTTAGAAAAAGCCTTTTATTGGTATCAAAAATTGGCAGAAAATGGTAATAAAGATGCAATGAATAATTTAGCCATATGTTATGAAGATGGAGAAGGAACAGAAAAGAATTTAGAAAAAGCTTTTTATTGGTATCAAAAAGCAGCAGAAAATGGCAATGAAGGTGCAATGTTTAATTCAGCCATATGCTATGAAAATGGAGAAGGAACGGAAAAGAATTTAGAAAAAGCCTTTTATTGGTATCAAAAAGCAGTAGAAAATGGTAATAAAGATGCAATGAATAATTTAGCCATATGTTATGAAAATGGAGTAGGAACAGAAAAGAATTTAGAAAAAGCCTTTATTGGTATCAAAAAGCAGCAGAAAATGGTGATAAAGATGCAATGAATAATTTAGGTGTATGTTATGAAAATGGAAAAAGAACAGTAAAGAATTTGTATAAAGCTTTTTATTGGTATCAAAAAGCAGCAGAAAAAAATTACAGTAAAGCAATGCTTTATTTAGCTATATGTTATGAAAATGGAGAAGGAACAGAAAAAAGTTTAGAAAAAGCCTTTTATTGGTATCAAAAAGCAGCAGAAAATGGCGAAAAAGAAGCAATGTTTAATTTAGCCAGTAGCTATTATAATAATTATGATGTAGAAAAAATGGAACAGAATACAGAAAAAGCCTTTTATTGGTATCAAAAAGCAGCAGAAAATGGTTATGAAAGAGCAATGTTTAATTTAGCCAATATCTATTATTGGAAATGGAATAGAAAAGAATTTAGAACAAGCCTTTTATTGGTACCAACAAGCAGCAGAAAATGGTTATACTGAAGCAATGATTAATTTAGCTATATGTTATGAAAATGGAAAAGGTACAGAAAAGAATTTAGAAAAGGCTTTTTATTGGTACCAAAAAGTAGCAGAAAATAATAATGTAAATACTAAAAATGAAGCCGAATGTGTAATGAATGCAATCAACCATATACTGATTACCAGTGGTGGTGCCAGCAATGCAATACTAAACGATTTCAACAAGATTTTTCAAATTGGACTAGTAAAAATGAATTTATTGATAAATTTATTCAAGAAGCACAACTAAATGCTAAAAATAGTTACGAAATTTTAGAGTGGATACCTTATAATAAATTGTCAAATATTAATTATTATGATAAAGGAGGATTTAGTGAAATTCATAAAGCTACCTGGTCAAATGGACCTATTTATAGTTGGAATTTTGATAAACAACAATGGAATAGACAATTAGATTATGAGGTCATTCTTAAAACACTTAATAATTCATCAAGTTTAGATAGCAAATTTCTTGATGAGGTATAGTACTTATATTTAATAGTATATTTTATTTTCTTTTGCAAAAATTTAATAATTTTTTTATCATTTATATAGTGGAAATATCATTATAATTGTCAGAAAAAATCATTTTCAAAATTTATTCAATTCTTTGGATTTACCCAAGATCCAAAGAATTTAAATTATATAATAATAATGAGTTATGCAAAAAAAGGAAGTTTGAGAAAATGTTTACCTGATATAATTAAATTTAAATGGAAAGAAAGGTTACAATTATTGAAAAAAATTATATTAGGACTTAAAGTAATTCATGAATCAAATTTAACTCATGGTGATTTTCATGATGGTAATATTCTATTATCAGATAATTACAATGAATTATTTATTATTGATTTAGGATTGTGCAAACCTATAAGTGATTTACAAGATTCTAATAATAAAGTTAATGAAATTTACGGAGTTTTACCTTATATGGCGCCTGAAATATTGAGAAAAAAGTCTTATACTCCAGCAAGTGATATTTATAGTTTTTCAATGATAATGTGGGAGTTTACATCAGGTATTCCTCCATTTAGTCATAAAGCACATGATCATCACCTTATCTTAAGTATTTGTAAAGAAGGAAGACGCCCTGAAATTATAAAAAATACTCCAAAATGCTATATAGATTTAATGAAAAAATGTTGGGATTTAGATCCTTCCAATAGACCAACCATAATAATGCTTGAATATACAATATCTGAATGGATTAGATGTATTAATGAATATTATGAAATAAACAGGGATGGAAAATATAAATTTGAAGCACCTAATATTGAGAATCAATTAAAAAATGATATGTTGGAATTTGTAGCAGCAAACAAAGCTATATTAGAAGGACAAGCAAGTACTTCTACTATACAATATCATTCACAAGCATATTATACAAGTCGCAGATTTACTGAAATTTCAGTTCAAGAAGAGTCTCAGGGCTTTGATTGTATGATTGAAGATTAATAATTCTATTATTTATTTATTCTTAATTATTTAACAATTATTTTATAGAAACATTATTATTATGTACTTTTACAGTTTTTACAATAAAGTAAAAAGATTAAATATTATTAAATACAAGCATGATAATTATTGAAACAATGTTTATTTATATTTTTATTTTCATTTGCAGTTTGTTACTAGTATTATTACATGCCATGATGTGTATTGATGTGTTAAATATTATTTTTTTTTTTTTATTAATAATTGATTGGCTACCAATTACAAAATAATAAAATATTATCTAGAGAGGAGCTATATTGCGTCTTCATTAAAATGAAATATTTCTAACTCTATCCCTCCTGCTGTGAATTCCTTTTTCCCAAAGAATATTGGGAATGAACAAATCTCATTAGCATTAGTTATGAAAAGCACCTGATCTCGCAAAGAAAGATTGGCTAATAAAACTTCACCGTAGTACTGGTATACAAAAAGTACTTTACATCTAAAAGTAGATTTGAAGTACGTCCCATCTGCCAATACTTACCATTGCTACATATTGCTAATAATGAGATTGCTTCATATAAAATGTCATGTGTAAAATGACTTATTAGTAATATTTGCATATTTACATATATGTCTAGCATTATGAAACTTGTGGTCACGAGTGTCTCATCAATAAAATATACATCGTCCATCTTTTTTTTTTTGCTCCAAACTTCCATTTTCACAACCTGAAAAAAAATTTCTTCTTATACTCGATAAAAGAAAAAATTTAATCTGCCTGTAACAATGTCACATGCAATCGATCATAATTTTAGTAAATCGACTATCTAACTAGATAGTCAAATAATATTTTGCAAAATGACAGTATATCACTTTATTCATTTCTTTTAGTTAACAAAATTCGGTATGAGGTAGCAGTACCAGTATTATGGAAAATTCCTGAAAGAATTCCTTTAACTAAAAAAGCAGAGAGTATATTATTATATTATTTAACGTTATGTTTTCACATTTATCATAAGACTCAAGAGATATTTTGAAGAAACAAGAAATAAACGATTTTTTCACAGAAGCTTATCGACCACCTTCATTTAATTACATTAATTTATGGAAACATTTAGATTTAAAACTTTTAGAAAATATGATTAGATTAGGAAATGACAAAGAATAAAACATTAATATTTTAATGAACGAATTATTAAAATTATTTATTAACAAAAATAAAGAATTCATATCATTATTTATTCCATTTAATTTTAAATATCAAATATACGATATTTCATGGGCAGAAGAATGGTTTTCAAATCTTCTTGTGATGACAATAATAAAAATATTGTAAAGGGATTAACTATATCAGCTAAATCAATTAAAAAATTCATATATTATCTTACAAATTTTGATTATAATTATATTTCTGCAAGCTCAAGATTAATTGAAAATCAAAATGACTTGAACGAAATTCGTTATAATGATGTATTATAATTCGAAGTTATTGAAAAATCACTAATTAAAAAAGCAGATATTATTCAACATCTACAAATATGTTAGAGATTTAAAGATGAATTTCTTTCATGTTTGTAAATTTAAGAAGTTTAAAAATGAATATACCTTTCTTATTTAAATACAATAGTAATATAAATTTGTGTCATTTGGAGAACACATCTTCACCTGGTTTGAAAGTTTTAAAAGCTAATCTTAACTCGCATCTAAATTTGATTGTGAGGTTTATTAAAATAAAAGACTTATCCAAGCAATTTATCAGGATCGTCCGATGATAGTGAAAGGTTATTGATTAAATGTCAAAATTTAAATGGATTAATTTTTAGAATGAAATGTCTTTTCAATATAAAAGTTTATTTAAAGTATTAATTAGACCATCACCAATAAATTTGTATAATTTTAAATTTTTTGATCGAAATTATGGACCTAAAGTTATTACAAATCAGTCTAGCGAGTTTCATGTCCGATTATCCGCTATAGGTAGGAGAATTGAAAGCTAATAAAGGAATATAAAGTAAAAGGAATAGTTCAAAAATTTGACTTTGATTATTTTTATTTATTAGCCGCAAATATTGACAAAACTGCATAAAGCTCAATGAATAATACTATTAAAAATTTTTTTATAGTTATATAATTAATATCTAATTGCACATAAAAAAGGAACTTCTACGCTCAAGTTGATTGTAAACACATGTATTTTCAAATTATTGTATAGTAAAACCAAATAATTTTATTGTTCCTATTGCTTTGTGTAGAAAAAATACCATAAAATTAACATTTAAAGGGTAAACCAATCCGCCGGTATGATTTGAAATATTTCATATTCTTCCACAAAAAATATATCAGTAGTTTCTCTGATTTGTTTTTCGTAATTATTATTATAACAATTACCAAAGTCTCCAAATAAAGCAAGGTCACCAATACCAAATACTGGACCACTATTATAATGGTTAAGTATAGCAAATTTTTCATATTTTACACGACTCAAAGTATAAATTTCAATATTATCATTGTTGTTAAACGAGAATATAAAACTATCTTTAGTAGATTTATAATCCTTTTCACAAATTGCATCATATCCACCAGATTCCCATGCAATTGGATTATATCCTCCAAGAATTTCATTACTATCTTTCACTTTAATTATCGTTATAGTATGAAATTTATTATCACAGATTTCATGAAATTTTTCACGTGTAAATCCATCACGAGATCCACGAAATAACAATTTAAATTTGTACGCATTTTTTATCTCATCTATAATGTTTAATCTATCAATCCATTTTATAATTATTTTAGCGTGTTGAATTGTAATGATTTTGGAATCAATATTAATTTCCTTAATAGTCGTACAAGGAGGTTTTGAATCTTTAATTGGTTGACTGTCAAGATTCATAAAATATTTTAATAAATCATCATATAATAATTCCTTTGGCAAAACCTTTCTGTAAGGTAATACTTTGTCCGAAAATTCTCGAGAAGTTAAATTATGAAATTTTATAAATGGAATACACTGGCGGATATTATTTTTTAAAGTTTTGAAATCTTCTTTTGAAAAATTTGTAAGGTCAGAAGGAAATTCTGGATTTTGAGCATATCCCCATTTAAGAACATATTCCCATACTTGAATTTCGCTCATTTGAAGATTTTCACTTTGAATAATTAAGACCAAAAGTTTTTCCGGAATTGATGAGAAATTTGGTGATTTAAATATCTTGTTTGGATTTTTGGTTATTAAATTAGTACAAAAATTTTGAAGCTCCAAGAAAGAATCGTTCCCAAAACTTATTTGATATATCAAATTAAAATTTTGTTCCATCCAATTTGTCTTAGTTTCAATCAAAAAGGATTGTATATAAGTGATTAATTCATGAAGACCAAATTCACTTCCAGTAAGCAAGATTCTAATTATATCCGAAGCATCATATTCATTCAAAGAAATTTTTCCACTATAAATATATCTAAGATAATAAAAAAGCGTAAATTTAAATATTAATTAAACAATCATATTTTAAATTTAATCTTGTATCATTCCTATTTCTTACCCTAAGATTATTTGAAAAGCTTCAGGCAAAACATTTGGTAATTTTATATGAACCAAAGTTCCATCACTTTTCTTTTTATTTGTTGACAACATTCTTCGTAGATACGTGGAACGATAATATAAGATTACCATATGAGCACGAAATATCTTTATATACGGGTCATTACCAACTTCAATAGTAACATCATAATATTCTTCATCATTTAAAATTTCAAGTAAATTTTGTGATAATTTTGGTAAAAGTTTATTATCGTCCATGACTTATTATAAATTTAAAAGAAAAAGAACTTTAATTTTGTGAACGGTTAACCTTAAATAATTGTTGCTGCAGCTTACTAATCCAAAAATGACACTTTAGTATGTGGCTTGGAGAAAAAATTTAATTGGTCCAGAGAGAAATAGGTTACTAATGTTTTATTATATAATGATATTTTTTTGGTTAGCTCGAAGATCGGGATCGAAGGTTTTGTATTTATTGCAATTGATTGATGAGTTCTACTAATACTAATAAGTATTAGTTAATTAATTTAATAAAGTTAATCTTTTTTTTATCTAGGTTCAATTTTCAGTGGTGACACGGTACCCACTCCTTTTTTTTTGAATTAAAATATATTTTCAATTTATTAATTTTTTTTAATAAAATTAATTTTTTAATAAATAATTTTTTAAACGCTTTTTTAGATTTTTTTTTAATAATATTAAATTTTATAAATTTAAAAAATTAATTGATCGGTGGGATGATATCAGCTTGGATTACAGTTCACCCTTACAGTAATATAACGAATTTTTATATATTGAATGAAAATCAAGAAAGCTCCAGTACTATACAATTTTTTTTTTATAAACAATAATATTTAATATAACGAATTTTAAGGTAAAATCTTTATAATTTCGAATTTATATGTTAGAACAAATTTGAAAATGACCCTCGAGATTTTGAAATTTTTAAAGTTACACAAAACATTATCACATGCGTGCAAAAAATCACAATATTAAAACTTCATATTTTAATTAAGGCCGTTCCAATTTAATCTTTAGTTTAACGTCCCCCCCCCTCTATTTTTGAAAAATTCAAGGGTGATTTAAACATATATGTTTGATATGTTTAAATATGCTTAAAACACCCCCTCCTTTATTAAAATTTAATAGTACCGAGAATTTCCGATTTTACCGAAAATTTCCAAAATTTAATTTTCACGTTTGTTTAAATTATCCCCTCCCCCCCCTCAAAATTTTGGCCGGAAAGGTCGTTAAACTAATTATTAATTTGGAACGGCCTAACTGGGCTTTTATGATCAAGAAGGACGTAAATTTTTTTTTTTGTCATTTCAATTTATACCAGGTATTGATTAAAAATAAAAAAAATGTATGTAGATCACGTGATTGAAATAAAATTTCCCTCATCTTAATCTCTAGCTCACAGGATTCACTATAACGAGGGGTAAACTGTATAGAAATGGATGGGTTGATGTTTTCTTTTTAATTATTAATTGTCTTTTAGAAAGTGAACTTAAATCTTTAATGTTTACTCATGCATCTACACTTAACTCCATAACAATTCTTTGCGATAACCTCCTTCAAATTTTCTGACTTTTTTTCAGGGTTTTGATTGTTTATTTGTTTATTTTTTTATTTAAGCTTTGTGTACCCCATACAGTCGTACATTTTTTTATTAGTAAATTAAATGTGAAATTCATGGGACGTGTGTCACGGAATTTCATAGGATCATCTATACCATAAATTAAACTAATATTTAAATATTCCAAATGTTTACATCAATTGATTCAAATTTTTATCTGAAATTTTGCAATTATCTAATATCAAATTTTTAATCTTAGAAGATCTTTCCTCGCTAGAAGAAGGATGATGATACTTTGATACTTCCAGAATTTTACTACTAGTAAATGAAGCGTATTCTATTTGATTCGATTTGATTATATATTTCCTGATATCTGTAATAAAAAATTAAAATAAATTATTTTTAATTGAGAAATTTCATCATCAACCAAATAACTTTTGCATCTTCGCCCGATATTTCTTAACCCTAACTTTGTAATTAAACTAAACGATAAAGAAAGATAAACAATATTTGTGAGAATTATATTTGTATTTTCATCGGTGGGTTTTGGATTATTGACTCCTAAATCCATTTTACGTAGAGTTGGGATCTGTAAAATAATATTTTTGACAATTAAATCGGATGTAAGCTGGAACGCATATATAACTTTCGTAATCCTTGAAGTTTTTTTACATGGAGATTAAAGAAATTGCTCGAGTATTTAAACCATGTGATATCGTAAGCGATGTGAGTTCCTTGCATCTATTTACCAAGTTTGCAACGCATTTGGAGAGATAATAACGCAAAAACTAGGGAAATAAATGTGGTAAGTTTGGACAAAGATCGATTCGTGAGACTAGTACGTACATCCAAATAATTTTAATTTATTTAAATGATCGTTAATTTCAATTATGTTTAAGTTTTTTAACAAGTATCCACAAAATTTTGTTGAATGAAAATAAATCGGTTTTGTAAAAAAAAATTGGATTACTACTTCTTTTTCTCATTCTTCTGAAGTTCTCGAAATGGGAGATTTACAAATTTACTCAAATTAAAGAATCTAATGGGG